CACACACACACGCCGTCACACACACACACACACACACACACACACACACATGCCATGAACATGACCGTCTGTTGAACTTTGGCCAACACTCACTCACCAGAACTCTCATACACGCCCATACATGCACAGAAAAAGGGGGAGAGGTACTGGAGTGTCCCACGACTCCCACCACCCAGAAGAAGAAACTCAACGGAAGACTCAGAGAAGCGAAGTGACAGAATACGTAATTCAGTGGTTTCTCTCCATAACAATCATTCATAGATAACAACAGAGTGGTCGCAACACTGACTCACAAGATTCACAACCAGAAAGCAATGGAGAGATGACAACTCAAACACAGTACCCCGGACCGCCCTGGAACAACGGTGGACGATGGGAAGTATCCCTCCCGTCGAGTTCTCCCTATCGGGGGTTCGACATAGAATGGCGGCCCGTGACTTTGGGAAGGGACGCCGCCTTTATGTTGGTAGAATGTCGGTGGAGAGGGATGAGACTCAATCGAGAACCCGGAGACGATCGGTTTTCTAATCTGGAAGTTACCATGACCATGTATCTACCTGAGATCTGTTGGCACTCGTTGGGGGTAGAGATAGCACAAGGTCACGAGCTGACACCGGTCTTTCAAAGGGCCGCCCGGACATTGACCCGGATAGTCGGTCAGGGGAAGAAGGAACGTGGGCTTACTTACCCGGGTGGAAATGGGAGGTTGGAGGGAGTTCAGGGCACCGACCACACCCCTGAGATGCCGAGTGCCCCGTTTTATGATAGACCTCGTCTTCGGAAGCCTCGCGAGGGCGCGGGAGCTGGCAGACTCAACGATAGTCTGGGCAGGCCACTTTCCTTCCCCTACCATTGGGATGTTCTACGATGTCGCTGTGGAGCATGGGCCGTTCAGGGGAAACAGGGCCCACGAATTACTAGAAGTCATCCACATCCTGATGTTTTGTGCGCCCCGGCTAGACTGGACAGGGTGCGAACGCATAATCCAAAGGGAAATCGAGATAGGGGAGAATTATCTAACGGGGGTGGCTCAACTATTCGAGGAGCCTACCGAACCAGAAGAGCCGCGAGGGCGAAAGCGGGACTAGCATCCGCACGCGGGTCAATAGGGCAGATCGAGTATAGTTCGCTGCGTACGGAAGTTCGCCGATGGGAATAAGAAAGGGGCCTCGGACCTGGATGGCTAAAACCCACTAGCAAAACAAAGAAGGGGGGGCAGACTCCTAATGATTGACCATAACCCTGAAGGTCAAAAACGGAAAACGCTGCTCGGGAAGACTTCCCCTAGCAGGATGCCTAACGCGGACTCCCTCGCATCGGCCGACGGGACAGGGGCACTACAAACGAGCTTGTGATAAAGGAAGCCCAGTCACATTCATAGTTCGGCTGGGCAGCAGGGTGGGTCGTGGTTCCTCCTTAAGGAAGGGCAATCAGGAAACGGGGATAGGAAAGGAGGCTATAAAGATAAGCCAACAGAGCTGGGAGCCTAGGGAACCTAAATACCTCGCATTGSGTGTGTCCTGGGAATTMTTTGGCTWATGCAGAACTAGGCAAAATGGCAACGGAGGAGGAGACAGATAACCGTAAGAGTGAAGGAGAACCAGGCTTAGGAGGCAGTGCCGCACAAAGCGAAGGCGGGCAGAAGGACAGAGAATCGATAAATCCGGATGGTACCAAAGAGAACCGGAAGGAAATCTCCACAGGAGAAAGCTTGGGGAAAGCCGGGGGAAGCAGGCAAGGGACTCAGGGGACCAAGGAAGGCAGAAATAAGGATAGGACAAACCCCTGAAACTCGGAAGGAGCCATGCCTAAGAAAGTAAGGGTCACGGATACGAGGCACAAACTAGCTGAGATAGAAAAGAGGACCGCGGAATACAAGGCAAGATCGATTGAGGAAATGATGACTGGGAACGAAGAAGGTTCTCTGCAGGAGGAACCCCGGGACGAACGGAAAGCCAGCCAAGGTGGGACTGGACAAGGGGATAAAGGTAGTGACCGTGGGGGAACGCCGAGCAAGAGAAGGAAAGAGAAAGAGAACTCTCCGGGGGTGGAAGTAGAAAAGGCTACGACTCCGCCAGCCATGGATAGTAGGGCTAGCCGCCTGCCGATCATGCCAGCAGTAGCACGAGGATGCGAAAGACTTTGGAACCTTAGGGAAAGAGTGTTGGGATGGTTTGACCCGGAAGGAACTATGAAAATCAGGGAGAGACAGAAGGCCGGCAAGGAAAGTCCGGATAACAGTATAGCAGGCGAGGCCAGCAGCTCCGAGGGTGGCCTTAAGAAGATAGTGTCGTCCCTCGCGCGAGCACTAAACAAAAATCAAAGCTACCTAGCGGATGCTAAGAAAAAGTTAACGTTTGATGGGGCGAACATCACGGAATTCCTGATAGATTACGAGAATCTGGCTGCGTTGTTGAAATGGACCGAAGAAGAGAAGATGGATCACCTGGGGCAGCATGTGTCTTTGAGCCTAGGACGGGACATAATGGCCATTGTGGTCGCGAGCCGGTCTTGGAAAGAAACCCGAGATGTGATGATGAGAAAATATCTGGCAGCAGAGAAGATGGCAACGGAGGCCGATTTAGCGGCAGTTCAGAGGAAGAACTTCGCAACGTACAATGACTTCCTACGGGAGTTTACTTTGGTAGCACTAAGGATCCCCGGGGTCACGGAAATGACAGTCCCATGAACATGGTTAGAGGCAAACCATAGTGTGGGCAAGGCTGTGGTCAGTCTTTAGCTTGTGGCTCCTCAGTTTCTTTATCTTCGGCCTCCTGAAGCCATTGTTCCACTGGGTCCCGGCTTAGAAACCTGACCAATCGTTGCCCCGGGAAGGGTCCTTTCAATCCAGTTCCGTCCAAATCTTCCAGTTCGAAGGTGTTCAGTCCCACCCGGTTGGCGACCCGGTAGGGGCCTTTGAACCTCTTTCCCAGCTGTCCCGACCAAATACTTTTTAGTGCCGAGTTCCTTAGCAATACCATCTCTCCCACTTGAAGTGGCTCCTTTCTGACATTCTTAACCTGGTCCCACCTTGTTTTGTCCCTCATTCTGCTGTCTAGTACCCGGTTGGCGATGTCTTCCATGACCTCCTCATTCTTAAGGATTTGTTGACATCTTGCCTCGATTAACTCATCAGTGGTCATTTGCGGATCTTCATCTAACCTATTCCAGGTAGGTACCAGGGCTTCCACAGGAAAGTCGATCTCTCTTCCGTACCAGAGCTCTGCCGGGATACATCCTGTTGTCCTTTTAGGGATCATATTCTCTGCAAAGACAGCCTGCTGAAGATACCTAGGCCAGTTCCCCAGGTGGTCCGCTGCGAGCTTTGCAATCGTGTTCTTCAAGGTTCGGTGCCCCCTTTCCACAGGTGCATTGGCCTCAGGGTGATACGGCTCAATGAGTTTGATCGGTACGCAGAGTCTCTTAAGCATCCCCAATACTTCTTGGTTCACAAACTCCGTCTCATTGTCTGCTATAAACCTCCTGACGAACGGATGCCTCAAGTAGAAGTCTTCTATCCAGTCCGCCACACTCCTCCCTGTCTTTTTCTTGAGGGCGACTGCCTCCACGAACCCACTCAGGTTGTCTCGCGCATCCAGGATATACCTGTACCCATCCGTTGATACATGCATGACCGCAAGGTCGAGGTGGACCAGATGCCCCGGCCCTAGCACCCGCGTTGGTCTAAGCGGCTCGAAGACCCGCACCAAGCTTCGTTCTTGGCAAATAAGGCAAGTCTGGCAGTATATGGCGACCATGCCTGCCATGCCTGACCAGTGATAGAGTGACGTCATCTTTGCAAGCATTCCTTTGGATGACCGATGACCTCCAGTCAACCCATCGTGCATTGCCTGGATCTTCCGCACACAACCCTTCTCGACATATCACCTTCCTCCCTTCGGAACAAATGCCCGCCCCTTAGGACGTACCTTTCGGCTTCTTCTCTTGCTTTAATACTGACTTCCGTAAGTTGTTTGTTTCCTACCAATAACAGCCCGATCTCCCGAAAGAGCCCTTCGTATGATTGGACATAGAAAAACTCCTCCCCTTCCTGGCCCCCATCCTTTCCTCCCTGCATCTGGTTTACCACCCATTGCAACTCTTTCCTTTCCCACGATTCCACTAAGCTCATCACTGCTTCCCGGCCTCCCCCGACCGCCATTGCTATTAGTTCTTCTTTCGGTCCTACTATCGCTCCCCATGAGTCATTTTTTCTCTGCGTCCTCGAGTGGTAACTGGTCCTTCTCTAAGTTCTGCTACTACGACAGATGTCCCCTTCTCCAAAGTTTGGATCAATAGTTCTCCCGATGTGCATCCCCCGCTCATCATTTCGTTATCCACCGCGAGAGTCCCTCCTTCATATTCGAGGAATGCGTCTATGGGCTCTTCATCCTCCATACCTTCGGGAGTGATGCAAACCCGACTCAACCCATCTGCCTTGTTGCGGATTCCAGCAATCCGTTCGATCTTGTAATCGAACTGCCAGATGAATCCTACCCATCTCCCTATCGTCAGATCTATAGGCCTGTAATTCTTTAGAGCCCCTGCGACATTCGTCGGATCGATCCTTAAGATGAACCGCCTTCCAAATAGGTAGGCCTGGAAGGTCCTAAGGCAATGCAGGATGACTAGGACTTCCTTCTTGAATTGCGAGTATCGCCGTTCTGCGGAGTTCAGGGTTCTACTTTCGAACCTAATCGACCTCTCTTTTCCTCCCTCATCCCTTTGAATCAACACACCTCCTACGACCAAAGGTCCTCAATATGTCCTTGAGCCTTTGGACAGCTCCTTCTCGCTCCTCCGTCCAATCCAGGGTTCCTTCTTCCCTGATCATAGCCCGGATAGGCTCAGCAATTTTGGCAAAGTTCTTAATGAAGATCCTCCAAAAGCCGACTACGCCTAGAAATGCCCTTACCTCCGTCGTCGTGCGCAGGGTGTCGACCACTGTGATATCTTGTCGTTTTTTGCCGGATCCGGCTTCCTGCCGTAAGCACCGCAACGAAATCCTAGTATAGTAAACTCCGGTACTGCTAGGATACTCTTCGGTCCACTAGCCGTAATGTTGTATACTAGGAACCGGCGGAGTAAGTCCTTAATGTCCTGCAGGTGGTCCCACACAAAACGTCGGATCCCTGGCTGGACTTCCGTCTCATCCTTCTCCTGCGCGCCTTTGATCATATTGTCATCGATGTAAGACTCACATTTTTCTGGGAACATGTCCCCGGCTACGGCGAGCATCCTGCGTTCCGTTTCAGGCACCGCGTTTATGAATCCCATAGGGGTCACTTGCATCTGTAGCTGGCCTACGGGGGTGTGCATAGCGGTGTATGGCTTGTCTCGAACATCCAATGGAAGCTGGTCGTACCCTGAGTACAGATCTATCAGGGAGTAAATGCTCCGACCGGCGTGCGATTCTGCTAATAAGTCAGCCTGAGGTAGCGAGCTAGCATCCCGGATGGTTACCGCATTCAACTTCTGCAGGTCTTGAATCCACCTTAGTGTCTTGTTAGGCTTCCGAAAGACGAACCACCAGTTTGCGTATGGAGATGCCGTAGGCTCCGCAACGAAGGAATCCATTTTCGCTCGGAGGAGGTCTGTTACTTCTCCTGCTATCCCAAATTCATAGGATGGTCCCTTGTCATTCCAGCACTCATGTTCTACGGTGTGGATTCTGACCGGAGGGATCAGCTTCACATCCAGTCGTCCTTTCTGGTGATCACTAAAGACAAATGTCAGGTGAAACTCCTGGCAGGTCCTTTTGATCAGGCGAGTTTCTTCTTCTGTTAACGTCTATCCCTATCTTCATTGTGTCAACTACCTCATCTGGTATCCGATGTCCCTCCATCGCCCTTCTTTCTTGGATCACTCGAAGGACCTCTTCCTCCTTCTCCATAGCCTCTTCTTTTGATGTCTCTAGCAGGATCGAGACCGGTTTTGCTTTCTTCCCTACCGGCTTGTACTTTCGAACACTTCCTTCCGAGATCTTTCTCCTAAAAAATGAACAGTCGGGATCGCCCCTGTCGCCTCTACGACTCGTGGTTGAATGCTAACTAGTTTCCCATTCAGGCAATATCCCTTTTGCACCTCTCTTTCGAACTTGGCCAAGGCTGCCGAATCCACTCCTACCTTGTGGTATCTGAGGGCCTTGATGAGTTGTAATAGATCGGGGATCTCGAGTGCGATTTCTGGCACGTCTATGCGTACTTCTTTCCGTTTGGGCAGGCTAGCACCAAGTTCGACCTCTGACTCCTTTTCCGCTACCATAGCACCTAGGAGTTCGTCCTCCTGCCTCCTCTTCTTCTGGGGCAGGCCCATATTGATCCACTCCTTCTTGTTGAATGCTTCCTCAATCATGATTTCTACCCTTTCTCTCATACCCTCCATCCGTGCGAAAGCCCCTTTTCGCGTGCTATCCTCGAACGACGGCGACCATGTTGCCAATTTCCCCTTCGGAGGGTCTCCTCCCGTTCCAAGGAGTCGGAGGAGCTCTCCCCTGTCGGTCACATGTTTCTCTATGTCTACCATGTATGAGCCATCGTGCAAGTGCATGCCTACCATCTCCTCCATTACGGTCATCCGCTGAAACGACCAGATCGATTCCCTGACCCCTGCCTTTACAGCATACTTCGTGACGTACCCAGCAAACGGGATTTCCTCGCCAACTCCCCGGATGCTCCCTGTTACTTCCTTGTTTACCGTACATCCTGTGATCGTTGCGAAATCTCTTCTTACGAGACTTCGTCCCGGGTGGTGATCTCATGACTTCGCCGCCCTCTCGGTCGGACAAGCTCAAACGAATGTATGCAAAGGCTTTTTCGAGATCCTCCAAGTCCCCGTGATTCCTCTGAAGGTTAGCCACTTCTTGCGGAGCTTCCTCCTCCCTCTCCCCTTTTGGTAATTCGGGGTTGTCGCCTATTTCTACTCGCCTCTGAGTCAACAGTTGTCTGAGCCCTTTGAGCAACCTAGGGCTAGCCTGCAGCATGGTCTGAAAAGACACCGACACCATGGTTCCTAGTAACTTGCTAATGGTGTCGTCGAGCTCATGCAAGGTTAAGATCGGGATTTGATACCGAAACTTCTTCTTAGCGGCGGTAACCTTGTCCGCAGGCTCCTTTTCCCTAGGCTTCCCATAGACCTTTTCCAGTTCCTCGGCCTCAGGCTCTGCCTGGGGTTCCGAACTTCCAGCAACCTCCTCCATTACGGCGTCACGGATAATCCTTCTCCCAGCCGTCCCTAGTCGAGTAGTCGCGTTTACCCTATCCCGTCCGTCGCTTTCCAGAATGAAGTTGACCTGCGGCCCGCGCCCCTGGAGTTGATCCCAGATGATCTCACCCACCTCTCAGCCTCTATGGCTGTTATTTCTAACCTTTTGTGGGACTGGCGCTTTGGCTTGGACTGACTGAGGTTGAAAGGCAGCGTGACTTTGGGGTTTGCAATATCTGGCTTGGGTGACAACGAGAAGGGATGTTTGGGGCATTGTACCATAATTTTGACGGGAAAAAAAAAAAATGGGGTCATCACAAACGACGCATTCGCATGTATAATAGGGGCATGCTACGAAGGATGTTGGGAGCATTCTGGGAAAAAGGGAGGGACTACCTACGAGACTGGGAAATGAGTGCATGAGGGGCTTTGCGGGTGTTGTTTTGTTATACAGGGTCTAAAAGAAAAGAGAAGATGGAGTTCGGTGACGAAAATGACAGAGGGGCAATCAACAGGCCTACCGGAGGGGAGGGAGCAGGACCAAGCCAAGGGAGGAGAGCGGCAAAGAGAAAGTTGTATATAGGACTCATGGGTGGCCCAGTGGTAGGCAGGGGAGGAAGGAAATGCTTGTGTAGGAAACCCTCACCCCTCCGCGAGGGAGAAGGTATAAAAATCTCGTCTGATAGTAAGGGAGGGAAGGAAAAGGCAGAAGTGGAAGAAGGAGGCAATGCAGAGAAGGGAAATAAGGTTCAGGTCTCTGACGAGGAAGGAGTCAACAGGGGCAAGCGACGTGAGACTTGGCATGGGGAAAGCGAGGGGGGACAAGGCATGCACGACGAATATGAGGAGGGTGAGGAAAGAAGGGAAAGCCCGCTTGAAGGACGAAGCGGCCACGACAGTTGCGAGGGGTATGGGACGGGGACAGAGATTCCTTTTACCTATGATCCAAAGAACCTTGCAGGTGGGTATATTCCCATACAGACAGAGGACGAGGAGGACGAGGAGGAGGATATGCGAGAAGTCATAGAAATCAGCAGAGGGGATGAGAGGGATGAGATCTCGAGGTCTAGGGAAGAGGGGCGGCCTCCGATGCACCAGCCGGGCGACGGGGCTTTCAGATGGGAGGACGAGTTTGGGCCAACGCCCAGTCATTGGTTTCAGCAATGGACCAATGTGATCAGGCACGAATGGATTATCAAGACATGGGAACTCGCAAGGGCAGGGGTGGAAGCCACACCACTGGATTTTTTTAATGAGGCAGAGTTACGGAAAATTGTAAGGATGAAAAGAGAAATCGAGACCTTCGACCTGGGGGTTAGACAGTCGGCTGAGGAACAGGGTGGACCAGGAAACGGGCAAGTTGAGGCACAAGACAACAATAGGCATTAAATGTTGATTGAGTGTTGGGCAAGAATCCTGGTTTTATTTCTCAATTGCAAATCATTGGAGCAGAATGTGTATAGTATGAGTAAGTTTGCAAAGGATGAGTGATGGAAGGGTCAGCTAAGACTTTGTCGTGATAAGATTAGAAGATAGCATATTGAGGCTACTTTTGGATGGGTTACCTTCGAAAGTGGGTACACAAGACAAGGACATGAGGCATGGGATGAGACCAGTTGGGAGGGGATGTATTTTGAATTCTGGATGGAATAAGGATTATGTTTTTGAGAGGGGAAAACCTTGAGTACGGATTGACGAGCGAACCATGACATTGAATGATTGGTCGAGTACAAGAGAGGTTAGGGAACCTATGGGTTAAGGGGCATGAAGAATACTCCTTCCCTAGGAGCCTAATCCAACCGAGTCGTGAATTAGTCTAAGAATGGTCAAGATCTGAGTTGTAGGAACGAGTGAAGAAAAAAGGGGGCGCCCATGTCTCTTGCTATGGTGAACGGTCGGGTGAGCTAGTGCTGCGTGGGGTCGCGAGCCCCAACTCGAGTGTTAGACGCTAAGTCGGATGTATGCATGAATGGTACTGTGAGAAATGGAATGGATGGTACATTACTAAGAGAAATGGAAGAAAGAGAACAACACGCAAAAAATGAGATGGCCACCTTCTAACCTCCAAGACAGAAATGGGATCCGTAACCTCGAGGCCCACCCCCTCGGGCACTAACATTGAGAATGGAAAGGAATGACCCTAACCAGGCTGTTCGACTTGAGAATGAAAAGGAATGGCCCTAACCAGGCTGTTCGACTTGAGAATGGAAAGGAACAACCCTAAGCAGGCTGTTCGACTTGATAATGGAAAAGAACGACCCTAACCAGGTTATTCGGGAATGGCCCCTGACAAGGGTCATTCCTTTTGAAATAGGCACTGGGGTCCCCTGCATATTTGATTGAGAAAGGTTGATTGAGAATGTGCTGGAATGAGCAATAAGAGGTGGAAAAGGCCGGTGGGTCGGTCATTGAAATAGCCAAAGGATGGATGGAAGAGATGAGAAAAGTCGGTGGGTCGGACATTGAAATAGCCAATGGGATGAATGGAAGAGATGGAAAAGGCCAGCAGGTCAGTCATTGAAATAGCCAATGGGATGGACGGAAGAGATGGAAAAGGCCGGTGGGTCGGCCGCTGAAATAGCCAAGGGGGCGGAAAAAAAATGTGAATGAGAAAGACAGGATAAAGAAGGCGGAGCCTTAAAGCCGAGAAGGGCAGGGACCGTTGGGACGGTCACAGAGATTGGGTGTTGAGGAATGAAAGAATTAAGGATTGAATGGGCGGATGGGTCAGTCTTGAGAAATGGCTATTGAGAAAATGACCGCCAGACTGGCCATGTGGGTGACCTTGTTGATGAGAGGCTGTCGGACCAGCCATGAGAACCAGCCTTGAAAATAGCATAGGATTGAGTGTTTGAAGATTGAATATTGCATTGCATAGCCAGGGGACCCTAGGTAACTTGATGTAAGGTCGTCAGGCCGACCATGGAAATAGCAAGAGATTGAGCTTTCTTTTTTTCTAGTCTCAGGTCTCAACATAAGGGGGATAGCAATGCCTGCATCGCGACCCCAAGACCTTTACCCGTTAAGGGAAAAGTCTCAGCGCGATCTGCTCCTCATAAGAAGGAATAAGGGTTGAAGGACCAAAGCACCTCTCTCTTTGATTGATGCTGGCCGTCCGGAACTAACCCCGACAACGAGCTCTAGTCGGGGAGTTCAAACTGCGCCTCATGTTGAAACCTAAACGTCAAGGGCGTGGTGCCAAACGGGCGAGAGAGTCATTCTTTTTCCTAAGTCTCATTTTTTCTCCCCAACCACACGCCATGCCGTAGAGGGGCGACACGACCGTTTGGAATGGACCACGGCTGCTCGCGTTAAGTCGAGCAGCACTGTCCAGAGGGAGGAATCGGGCGTGGTACCGGGTGGAACCCGCAACCACCACAGGGCGAGTGACGCCGCCCTGCCGGATCATTACAACCGTTCCGGGACTAACCGCGAGGTCTTCGTAAGTGCACTCGCGGACTAATAGAGAGCCCCAACTCTCTTGAAAGGAAGAGGCCGGATCCAAGAAAACATCGCTCGAGAGGAACGATTCGCGAGAAAACACTTACGGCAAGATGGGGTCCTGGGAGGCTTGGACTGGACCTACCTTCCAGATGTGGGGTGGTACCTCAGTAATGACGCCCGTCTCGTAAGCAGCAAAATGTCGGACTGGAGTAGGGGATGAGGTGAGTTATCAGCAGGGGGAGGACTGATCACCCTTCCTTTTTGGGGCTGATGGGCCGGCATCCGTCTACTCAATTGGTGGGCCAAGGTCTGCGTACCTCCGAGTGAGAACTAGTCGTGCGATGGGGACATCGCATTTTGAGTGGGGGGAAGGTGTGTCATCTACCAAAGAAAAAGCGTGCAAAAGAGAAGGATACCATGAGCGTAAGAATGGATGAGTAATTGACTTTGCGCAGGCTTGAGAAAAGATCTGGCAAGATGTCCAGAAGAGAAACGCATGAATGATTAACGTTGCATGGGCTTGAGAACAGGTCTGGCAAGATGTCCAGAAAAGAAACGGATGAATAATTGACGTTGCATGGGTTTGAGAAAAGGTCTGGCAAGATGTCCAGAAGAGAAACGAATAAAAAATTGACGTTGCATGGGCTTGAGAAAATGTCTGGCAAGATGTCCAGAAGAGAAACGGATGAGTAATTGACGTTGCATGAGCTCGAGAAAAGGTCTGGCAAGGTGCCCAGCTGAGGAAAAGATGCGTGAATGACTCCGCATGGGCTTGAGAAGAGACCTGGCAAGATGTATAGGAGAGAAATGGATGAGTATTTGACCTAGCATGGACTTGAGAGAAGGTCTGGCAGGATGTCCAGAAAAGAAAGATATGTGAAATTGGTTTTGCGTAGACCTAAGGAAAAGTCTGGCAAGACGCCCAGAAAAGAGATACAGGTATAATGGACTTTGCATGAATATGAGAGAGATCTGGCAAGAGGCCAAAAGAAAGATGTGAATAAGAGGACTGAGTAACGCGCATTTTTAAGCAAGGATACGAGAAAGGACGAATGAGGATGACGGGCAAAATGACATGGGGAAAATACAAGAGAACTGGCTGAGCATGAGACTGAGGAAATAATGACGGGAGAACATGGATTGCACGGGTCGAAAAGTAGATTATTTTTTTATGACTCTAAGAGTAATGAATGAGGCGAAACCAAAATGGCTTCTACTCGATAATGTTTTCTCAAAAAAATGGGAAGACAGATTTGAGATTACGAAGCACTTAAGGAGAGTTATGCGTGGGCTCACTGATTCGAAGTGGGTATCACCACAGCAAAGACGGCGGTTGTGTTGGACGAACATCTCCCTATCGGAGCAAATGCTTGACATTGAGTCGCATCCGAAAACTTGCCTACAATTTGTTATCAACAAAGCCAAGGCATAGAATGAGAAAACCAATTGTGTTATGACAACAAATTCTCATCCTGGGAATAAAGTCAGCATACCAGTAGTTAAGTGCATGAAGCAAGGAGAGCCTCGTCTGCTTCATGTTACTGAAGTTGAAAGAATTATGGGCTGTCCTGCTGGGTATACAG